TGAGGGCTAACATCTACACTTCAGCACCCAAACGATAGGACCGAATTGAGGATTTTAGTCAGTCACTCTAAAATCTCCAATTCTACGCTCGATAATTTTTGTTTCCCTATTTATTTGTACCCAACTTTCAAGGACTTTGATCTCCCTAAATCTTGGATGTAATCTTCACTTTAGTTGTAAAACTCAACATATTTTAACAAATTAAATGGCCAGATTGAAAGGTAATTAAGGTTGAAGTGAAAAGATCATCACAATTTCTTTAACATTCTCATGACACAACCAATTTAAATCACTATTTCACAAAATCTCAAGACAAGGAGAAAGACAGAGAAAACTATTCAGATTTCATGGAGAAGATACGACAAAACTTGGAATTTATATATAAAAGCAAAGTCATACAATTTTCAATAAGTAAATACAACTTTTCTCTAATTCCTCCCCAAACAAACTCCTCAAATTTCCTCTGAATCTTTTCTTTTCTTTTGACACACAGAATTCTACTTCGAAGCGGCAAGGAGAAAGAAGTCTCTCACTTTCCTTCCACTCCTACAATCTCTCGAAGAATTCCTCACAATACTAACCATTCTTTACACTCTAATGGGCTCTACAAACAACAAAGACTCAGCGAACACCCGTGGACACCACCTTTTTTGGCCTCTAAATATTTCTTTTAAAGTTGTAGAAGAGTTTTCAAGAGTTGCCCAAGCATCCCTTAAAAAGTCATCCACATTCAATGGATCTGTTGAGAGAACCTACGTGCTCGCCATTGGCGACCTCGAAGGCGCCGTCGGCGGCCTTCTAGAATATTTAATTATGGACTCTCGGGTAAAACGGGAAAAACCCACCGTCGGCGTCGTCGAGCTCATCGTCGGCGCTCAAGATCAAATCTTCATATTTTGGTCTTTTTTGCCCCAAATTCGCTCATTTTTGCATCTTTTTGCTCCAATGACCATAATTTAACACACCTGCAACAAAACATCAAAAATCTCTTTCTTTAAAGCGCAATATCATCAAAATCAGTATAAAATAAGTACGAAAATCTCAACATATTTTCCTAGTACGAAAATCTCAACATATTTT